TTTTAAAATATATGCAACATCTAAATATATAGTAATCCCTTAGCAAACTTTATCTGCATTACACTCAAAATGCTGTTTCTAATTGTTATGTAAATATTCAGCCATTTATAGGTATAAAGAGGAAAACTATTGGAACTAAATTTGAGAAATTTGTTTCTGAATCATTAGTATAACCTCAAGATAACATAGAATCTTAATACATTCCACTAAATGTTTATCCTCATATTGCCCTTTAAATGGGAAAACAAACGTAGTAACAAACACAGTTAGGAAGCAAAAGGACTAGACAGCTTAAGAGACATCTTAGGATACTTTGGCAACAGACCCAGGATTAATGGGTCAAAACAATGGATTAGAAAAAAACAATAATACTCTTACAGTGGATTAGGTTTAGGGTAATAAATAACAAAAAATGAAAGAAAATATGAAGGTGTAAGATTTTCAACTTAAGACTCCAGAGAAAACATTAACTGAATAGACTTAAGATAACAATAGTCAGAAGCAGAAATGTAAGAAATACCTGACTCTAAAAATTCTAATCTACATGAATAACACACTGAATGAAAATAAGACAACCCAGAGTTACAGAAGGATAGAGAAAGAAGATTTGCTAAGAAACTTTCCTTAATTTGCAAATTATGAAGTGATAATAGAAAGTACAAGTAGCAGAAAAGTTAAGAAGAGAAAATTGCTTGGCCTCACATGAAATAGTATAGAGTTCTTAAGTTCAGCATGTAATGGAACGAATGCTGCAGAAAGTGGGAAGTGCAAGTGGCCACTCATATTTCATATCAAGTGGCCACACTACCCACACATTGGAAGACCCACTCAAAACACAGCAAGACCACCGAGCAATGAAGCATCATGACACAAAACGTAATACACTGAGACTCAAATACAAAGTAGGGTCACAGAAAGATAAGAGAAATAGGAGGAGTGGATATCACTGACAGTTTTCCAGGATTTATAAATTTTACTATGCTTCTTAGAGTGAAGAAACACAATGAAGATACAATGCCTTAACCTATACTTATGACAGGGTAGAGCTGAAAAGACAAAAGTGGAAAGTTGATGCTAACAGGAAAGGATTGTCTAGAAATGAACAAATATAAAAAGTCAACAACTTTTAACCAAGGAATCTAGGCAGCTTTCAGGAATGAGGGTGAAATGAAGGTTTTGTGACTTTATATGAGTTTTCTAGCTAAAAATCGTTTCAGAAATTACAGAACTTGAGAAAAAGAAAGTTTCTTCAAAAACTAAACATAGAACTACCACATGACCTGACTACACAGAGGACCCCTAAGTCAACATAGCAGATACCTGCACATCGTATTCACTGGTGCATTACTCAGTTGCCAGGAAATGGAGCCAGTCTAGATATATATCAACAGAAGAATAAAGAAAATGTGATAACCTATATACGGTGGAATTTGAGGTAGCAGTAAAGAATTAAATCATAACATTTGTAAGAAAATAGATGGAACTGGAAATCATTAGGCTAAGCAAAATTAAAATAAGCCAGACTCAGAAACACAAATGCTGTGTTTTCTCTCATATGTAGAATGTAGATTTAAAATTATCTATGTACTAATGTAAGCACGCATAGGTTATAAAACTAGAAAGGAACATTATAGGGGGGAAAAGAGATCTTAAGGAGAGGGAAAAAGAGGGTGATGAAACACATGAGACATGAAGGCAGGAGGGGACACTGTCTAGGAGGAGGAAGGGAAACACCCAGAAGAGGATGCACAGGGTGCACAGGGATGGGCAGTGGGGATGGGGAACAAGTGAGAACAAAGTAAATAATAACAAATATGTATGAAAACTCCATAATGAAACCCATTATTTTACAAGTCAACTTGAAAATTTAATAGAAAACAAAAGAAAGAAAAAGAAATGTAAAACAAGGAAGGATGAAAGATAAACACCAACAAAAAGAAAATGACAATGGGTTTGATAACTGGGAAGTATTTCAGTAGAAAGGTATACCAAATTAGCAAGGGGGAAAATGGTGATGTGTAACTTTTTGTGTATCTGTATGAGCTTGTGGTGTATGTGTGTGTTTGCATGTGTGTGTGCATATGTGTGGACCTATGTGTGGAGGTCAGAGGTCAATATCTGGTGTCTTCCCCAATGAGAACTGAGACTGTAATTCCAAATAACCACCCAGAATCAGAACATAATTTTTTTTTATTTATTTTTTTTTCTTTTTGAGACAGGGTCTCCTTTGTAGCCCCAGCTGTCCTGGACACTATGTAGATCAGGCTGCCCTTGCACTCACAAAGACCTGCCTACCTCTACCTCCCAAGTGCTGGAATTAAAGGCGTGCACCACCACGCCCTGCCTAGAACATAAATATTTTAAAAGAAAAAACTTTGTGAATATACTGCGATAAAGTTTTATCTTAAGAGAAATACATGGAAATATATAATGTATTAAATATCAATGTCATGATATAAAAATTTGAAATCTTAAATTAATAAATTATGGTAAGAACTGAGTAATAAAACAGTAGAATCTTAATTAGTTTTAAAATTTATGTTTCTTTCATAATTTGATGTGTGGAAGAGGGGATTAAAAAATGAAAATAAATCTTAATAAAGATCTGTTAGAAGACGTTTTATATGATTTCTGGCCAGTATGTAGCTTTCTTAAGATCACTTGTAACATTAGGGAAATTTTTTTCAGGCTTTAATTAGCCTTTCCCACCCCAAAAATGGTTCTTATGCTTCAGATAATGTAAATTTCAGTGAATTATAAACCAAAGAATGGCAAATTCCTAAATTCAAAAACCACAAAAATTGATAGCTCTTCATAATCATGACTACATATATCAAGAACATGTAGCTTATATCTCTTTACAGCCCAAAGATATATCTCATGCCTGTAATCTTATGCTTTTGTAAACATTTGCAAATACAGCAAATTGTATTACTTAACCTTTTATTATTTGAACCTATTTTCCCACCCCAACTATTTAGGTACAAATATATCAACTTAAGGTTGAAATAGGCATTAAAATTAGAATCTTCACATAGTATTAAATTTAATTCTACCTTACTATGTGGTTCCTAACCTTTAAAAAATGTTTAATTTGCAAATGTCCCTTATACATTACAGAAAAAATACGCTATCTAATTTTGATAATCTGGTCAAGAATTCATGGTAAATAATAAGATTCATATCAGGTTTTATGATGAAAGAAATGCTAAATTAATTTTCAAAACTGTTATCTTT